CCCTCTAATGAACCTTGAGAAATTACTATATTAACTAACCTGGTTGATTAAATGTCTGTTGGGGTCGAGAGCTGCGACCAACACCATCAATCTGAGATTCCTACAGATAGGGCCCTACCCCAAGCCCCAGGAGGCTCCATGCTCTGCAGTGTCTTCCCTGAAATTTTTTAAGTTTCCCTCTAAGCCTCCAGAATACCCCCCACAAAGCTGGGTGTTTAATCCATGAGACCATTCTAGTAACCGCGGATCCATCATTTGGGCCTATCATGTTTATGTTGGCAAGAGATTATAGCACACCTACTACATAGAAATCACAAAGTGCTTTCTTATTCATTCATTCTTTACTTTATCTCTCCTTTACAGTTTGAAACCAAACCAGCTATTTGGCATTTATTTGTATTAACATGTTAAGTGGCCACTTATTTGTTCTGCAGGAAGTAGTAGTTTGTACTCTGTATTCAAAGGCATTTCTGCATAGTGAAAAAATGAAGGTGGCCATACTAACATACTCTAAATTATTCCCACAGTCTTTGTTATATTATTGACCAGGGCAATTCTCTAAAATATCAGATTCTAGTAATGCGCTGTCCTTTTTCGCATGTGCTCTTAGTTTATCCTCATACAAATCATATAAGAAAAAAAAATCTTCTCACCAAATAGTCTAAAAAGTTAAAGTGAGTTGGACAAGAAGGCATTCATCCAAGACTCCAGCAGAAAAGTCCTTTCTTCAAATGCCATCATTTTGGACCAACATGGCGTTTTATAATCTTGATGTCTAAACCCCCTCTCTGCAGCACTTCAGATCCCTCCTCCTCCCAGTTCTAGACATGCATGTGCTCGGTCCCTGGTTTCCCAGTTTCATGATTGTTCTCTGTCTGCTCCTTTGCTCCCAGAAGGCCAGGGCTTTGTGAGCGAGGACGAATACCTGGAAATCTCTGACATCAAACGTGACCAGTCGGGGGAGTATGAATGCAGCGCCTTGAACGATGTGGCTGCTCCTGATGTGCGGAAAGTCAAAATCACCGTCAACTGTGAGTTGACCATTGTCAGGGAGTCGGGGGGGGGGGGAGGTGGAAGAGGGGCTAAGAGGGACAAGCTGGTAATGGCAATGCTGTTTTCTGAAAGACCCAGTTGTCTCCATCAGGAAAATACTTGACTAGATTGCTGTGCCCCATTCCAGTCTTCCTGTGACTGTCACAGCTCTTAGCCAATGGGGAGAATGGATAGCTTTGAGTTGGCTTAAAGTCCTAAAGAAGATGCTGGGGTGAGGCAATATCTTCAAACAAGAAGGTTTTCCCCTAAAATAGTTGGTAATTTAACTGGGAAGGGAAGGTGCCGAAAGAAATCCATCTGTCAACAGGGTGACGGAATGTGCCCTTTATCCATGTCATGAAATTGCTTTGCCTTTTCCTACAGACCCTCCCTATATCTCAAAAGCCAAGAACATGGGTGTGTCCGTTGGTCAGAAGGGCATTCTGAGCTGTGAAGCATCTGCCGTGCCCACCGCTGAATTCCAGTGGTTCAGGGAAGACACCAGGTACCGTGAGAATGGAAACAGGGCTGTCTGAGCAGAGCTGACGGAGCTGGGAGGAGAGGGGTGCAGTAAGGGAGGAACTTTAATGCATTACTGCCTTCTTTATAACAAGAGGCTCTTTTAGAACCAGAAACAAGGACACGCACACACACACACACACCCACATACACACACACACACACACACACACAAAAGAGAGAGGAGGAGGATCCTGGGAAATGGGCTAATGAGTTGAGCTTATTTCCAAATCTGAGGTTAGCTGTACACATGGCAGTCTTCAGTGATGAGAACCAGTAAATGTAGCCTTTGGAATGTTAGCATCCTTCTCTTTTCCCTGCTGATGGGAGCTATGGTGCTTATGGTTCAAGGTGCAGGAACTGGGTCAGTCAGAGGAAAGGGGTTTGGGAGAGGGAAGGCCTCCTGTAGGGATAGCCAGTGGTATCTTAGTTCTCCCAACACCTGTCTGCTGTTTTACTATATCTGTAGAACCAGACCAGCAGTGCCTTCTCTGTTGCAGGCTAGCCACCGGCCTGGACGGCATGAGGATTGAGAATAAAGGGCGCATATCCACTCTGACTTTCTTCAATGTTTCAGAAAAGGATTATGGGAACTATACTTGTGTGGCCACAAACAAGCTTGGGAACACCAACACCAGCATCACACTGTATGGTGAGTGCGGGAAGCCTGGGCGCATGGGTTCGGCCACGTGAGGGGCTCGAGGGACGTGAGGGAGGAAGGCATGAGCTGCTTGGCCTATGTCCATCCATACTGCTCAACCCACCACCCTTAGATACAAAACGCTTCCCCCTGTCACTCTCCTCACGTGTGGAACAGTGGTGTTTCTCTCCCCTGGTCTACTGAAAGGCAAGGTTTGCACCTTACAAAGGGGTAAACCCAAGTCAGAACCAAGTTTGATGGTGGTTGCCATAACAACGCAGAACCCGGGGACAGTTCAGTTGTAGTGCTATGGAAAGATCTGCAAGGTAAATTAGATATAATTTTCAGCTAACTTCTCTAGTAAGAGTCTATGATTTTGAGGGGGGTTGGCTTTATAGTTTTAAGCCAAGTCAACTGCCGCCATCATGATTCTCGTGTTGATTGCCGTGTCATGTCCTCATTCATCGGAAGAAACAGAGCAGCCCTCTGAGGCCTCCTCGTGAGGACTGTTCTGTCCACAGCGGGAGCGTCAATGCCTTTCTCTCTGGAGGCCTTTCTCTCCCACATGGATGGAGAGTGCCCCAGAGCCAGGGCGGCCTCCCTGGGAAGCCCTGTCCTTCTCTCACTAAATCTTCCCACACTGCCGTGTCCATCTCCTTTGTGCCACTTTTCACACCAAGGACCAGGGCCAGCTTGTGAGATTTCTTGTGTGTCTGTATTTGTTGATTTGCTGAGATGTGGTTGGAGGGAAGCATCTGGTGAGTAGAACGAAAAGGTATTCATTTGCCCATGTGCCCATCAGACACTGCAAAAGCTTTCGGCATTGACGTTGACTAAACGGCGTCCACCAACCATCTGAAATGTGTGATCTATGTCTTCTGTTTTCTCTCTGCATGGTGTGTGCATTGTGCTGTGTGTGTCTTAGAAATAAGCCCCTCATCAGCAGTGGCAGGTGGGTACCGCATGTTCCTTCCTTCCTCTGCCTGCCTGAATGCCTATGCCTTTGAACTTGAGCCTACTTCCGAGACAGGCTTGCCTGCTCCACCTCCCTGGCTGATTTATCCTTAGTAGATAGACTTAGGGATTTGGTTTGTACAGTTTAAGTGGCAGGCATGTAGACCGAGATAGCTTTTACATGCACACATATGAAATGCCATTATATGTTTCAGGGAAAGGGTCCTGCCCCACCCCCACCCCCCAAAACAAACAAACAAACCTCTTCTACTTGGTGGCCTTTAAAAGGATGACCATTCTGCGATTTCTATACACAGCAACACCAAGAGGAAGCCAGCCAGAGACCAAATGGATTATCAGATTATTGTTTCCATGGGGAAGTCACCTTCGTGGGAATGTTTTTACTTTCAGCCCAAGGCAAAAAGGGCTAAAGACTTAATTCTAAAACCTTCATTGTAAAGTACAAGTGCTTGGAGTCATTAATGATAATAAATATATCTACTGATTTCCAGACACCATGTTAGTGCTGCGCAGACAGGTCATTAACCCCATTTTAAACATGAGTGTAAAGGAGGAAGAAAGAGGTTAAGCAACACTGAGGTACACTTAGCTAGTGAATCCACGCTGGGCCCTTCAGCAGACGCTGGTGTTTACCCAGAGGCTAGGGAGAGAGAGTGAGGCATTTAGATGAGGCAGCAGGTGGCTCACAGCCCTCCTTTCACATGATCACTCTCAGTCATATAAAAAGTGCTAACCTTTGACTTGCCCAGACCTGGAAACACTCTGTGACTGTCTTTTCACAGCGCTGGATCTAGGACAGTCACAGGCCCCTTGCTCCGCCCACACCTTGGGGTCTATGACTGTCCATCCTTGGTCTTGAGAAAACCACGAGGAAAGGTGGGGTTAGAGTGCTCAGCCACAGACCCTGCTATCGCCCCCTCAGTTAGTGGTGTCAGTGACAGGAAGTAGGGCCAGTGGTCTGCAAACTGCGGTTCGGCAAACCGCGGCTTGCAAGCCACATGCAGCTCTTTGGCCCCTTGAGTGTAGCTTTTCCACAAAATACCAACTTCTGAGCACGGGCCATGAAGTTTCAATCGTACTGTATGTGCGCGCCCCCACGTAGTATTTTGTGGAAGAGCCACACTCAAGGGGCCAAAGAGCCACATGTGGCTCGCGAGCCACAGTTTGCCCACCACGGAGTAGAGCCAACAGAAGCAGCCTAGGTCTAACCACTAGGTGATCCAGGATCTTGTCCCTCTTTACCATGAACTAAGGAAAGAGCAGACAACAACATAGCAGATAACAACAGCAGATATACATCAAGACGATATCAATTTGCTAGGGCTGCCATAACAAAATATCATAGGCCAATGCCTTAAACAACATAAACTTATTTTCTCACAGTTTTGGAAGCCAAAACTGTTTTTGATGATGGCTCTCTTCCTACCTTTTAGATGGCTACTTTGTCCTCACATGACTTGCTTGTGAGCATCTGTGGAGAGAGATAGAGGTGGATATAGAGATGGAGAGAGGGGAAGAGAGAAAGGGGAGGAGGGAGAAAGGGGGAAAGGAAGAAAGGAAAAGAGAAAAGAGGATCAGAGAGAGAGGGAAAGAAGATGAGAGAGAGGGAAGGATGGGGGGGGAGAGAGATGATTGCTCTCTGGTGTGTCTTCTTATTAGGACAATAACTCTGATGAATGAGGGCCCTACCCTTTTAACCTCATTGAATCTTAATTATTTTTTTATAGTCTCCATCTCCAAATACACACTGGAGACATATGGCTTCAACATATGAGTTGGCGGGAGGGAGGAGGTATAATTCAGACACTAGGAAAGACATAGCTTTATATCCCAACTTGGCCAGCCACGTTCCAGCTAGTTACCCTTGCTGAGCCTCACTCTGCCCACGTATGGAATCAGAATCTTAATTCCTGCCTTTAAAGGCTGGTGAGAGTGCCACATAAGGTCATACCTATGGAGAGAGCCCCACACATGTTTACATATATGGCTTTGACAACATACAAAGACGATAGACCTCAGTTACTCTGCTAAAGTTGGGACAGTACTTCCTGGCCTGTCCTGGTGAATTGTCAATAACATGATGCTGCTCACAGCGGTATGCCAGGCTGAAGACTGTTGTATAAAGAGAAAGTTCTGTAGTTCTCGCTGGCATTTGTCAGTGTTTTCCGTGATCCATCTTATCACTGCTGCTCTTCATATGGCTGCCAGGCGTATTGCTCAGCTGGGATTGTGCTTTCCACTCCTCTAGGCCTCCTGTCCACTTTCACTTACCGCACCATCACTCGCTGTGTCTCGCTTCATCTGGTTAGTGTCCGCTCCCCGTCCAGCATCCCTTCCTGAAGGCAGCCTTTCCTGACCTCTGAGGGGAGGTCAGTCCCTCATTATGCACGCTCCCTGTCACACTTCTACATGCTGCACTAACACAGTGCACTCGCCAGCCTTCACTCAACTAATATTCCTCAGGGCCAGCCCTGAGCCAGCTTCTCAGAGTGATGAGGATGCAACAGTGACACACAGAGAGATACCTAAGTCTATAGACTTCACCTTCTAGTTGCAATGATATTTTGTTCCATTCGCTTCATTTCTTTTATCAAAGACTTTTTTCTGCTTCTGCCTATGTGCTCCATGAACATAGGGACCATGTCTGGATTGATCCTTAAAACCTAGCACAGTAGCCGGTCAGGAAATTTGTGTTGAATGAATGAATGAATGAATGAATATATGCAGAGACTGGAGGGTTGGGTTGGTGATACCAGGGACTGGAGTTCAGCTCAGGAATGAAATGTGACAACAGAATAGGGCCTAGGAGTCGGAGCCTCCTTGGAGCCAGGTTCGGCTGCTCACTCTGAATGGTTTTGGGAAATCAATTTGGCGCACTCTGGGTTTTTCATCAGTGAAAGTGTTTGGGTAAGATGTTCTGCATGGTCCCCACAAAGATGATTCTCTGATGCTCTGCCTGAGTGGCAATCGCTTCAACACCAGATGAAAGGGATGTTGTCCAGTTCACAGACCTTTCTGATGTCCATGAATGCTGTTTCTAGTCCTCAATGTCTCCCTGATTGTGCAAAATATTACTTATCACTTACCACCTACAGGGGGCACTGGGCTGAATGTTCTCCCTGCTTTACCTCAATTAATGACTCTAAGAAGTAAATACTATATTTATCCCACCTGTACAGAGGAAGAATTTGATAGGTTGGGCAGATTATTCAGCTCACACTGGCTTGTAAGTGCTTGAGCCGGAAGAAAGCCAATGTGCCTGGTTCCAGTGTCTCAGCTCTTCTGTTTCATTACAACTCACACTGCTTGGCAATGCATCACAGATTTTGGCGGATCACCTTCTGGGTAGAACCCCATATAAACAGTCAGCCTGCTTGCACCTATTTGGCACACTCAAATCTCCCTTCTTCTACCTAAATCTAAGCCCATTATTTTAAAGAACATTTTTACATTTACAACCCATATACACATATACACATACCCCACACACACATACACACACACACACACACACACACACACACACACACCATATTCCCAGGCATGCATTGGCGTTTGCCCTTGAGGACTGTAAGTTTTATTTTTGGAGACCATCTGACTGTGTACCAAGAAGCCAGAGAACACATTCTCCTAACAGAATTCTCACACAGGCACATTTCCCATACATGTCCTACCTGCATGCAGAGAACAAAGGAAGATGGGATAAGAGCCAATTCAGAGAAGACAAAGATAGTGGGGACAGTGGGGTGGTGAGTGGGTTGAAACAGGAAGTGACTAGGTAAACTGTGACAGGCACATCGGTAGGTGGGAGACACCCATGGGTGGATCAGTGCTTGGCCTCCATCTGAGAAGTTTGTTTCTCACACACCAGTTACTGTCCCTTCAAAAGCCACACAGATGGGCTAGGTCATACGGGCAGTGTGCCAACTCAAAGTGGTGTTTTAGCTTGTGTACTTTCTTGAGCCCCAAGCAACTGCAGGGACTGAAAAGGCAGCGGAATTTAGAGAAGAGACCAGTACCAGGAGCAAGGAAAACTG